TTAAGTTAACTGTACATGGAAGTTGTAACGAATCCCTTAAGCACATCCCGCTTTGTAGTCCCAATTCAGCCATGCTTTAGCTAGATCCCCAAGCTGGCCAGTGCTTTCCCAACACTACCTGGTCAGGAGGGAAGTATGAAAGGAAGGACGTTGGGGTGGTAACAGATAGAGCAGCCTTTGTAAGCTAAAGTTACTCAAATGATTTATAGTCTAGAGCAGTTTCTAGCTTACAGCAACATTGTGTGGAAGATATAGATTTTTTCTTTTTTAAACATTCATTTTATTTATTCTTTGTGTTTTCATAAGACAACAGGGTCTCTGGGTCACAGTTTGATCAACGGAGTGCTCCACTCTAAAGGGAGGATGTTGAAAGGAGGATGTTGTGTGTGGAGTATGTGCATTCTGGTTTTGCCTTGTGCTTGCTGGGCATGGTACTCTGGAACTCAGGGACCTGAATGTAGTGGGCAGATGGTCTGCCCCTCACTGGGACCCACCCCCTCACTGCTGTTTTCTGTTTCCTAGTTTTAAAGACCGTGCTCACAATAGACAACGTCCATTCATTTACAAGACTGCTTCATAGGAGATGAAAAAGTCATCTTTAGTAACCCTGGCCTGTAGCTGAGTTATCATTAACACAGGATGAGAAGAAACAGATTTGAGAGAAGCTTGTTCTTCTTTTGCAAAACTATGCAAAAGAGACTGATGGGGAATGTTCTTCTGTGTATATGTTTGTCTTACTGGTTGATAAATAAAACACTGATTGGCCAGGCAGGATGATAGATAGGACTAGGAGACAAGGAGGATTCTAGGAAATGTCGGCAGAGAGGAGTTGTCATGTGATCCCAGGAAGTGATGTAGCTGGGCAGAAACTGCCTCTAGCTAACCATTGAGGTCTGGAGGGCTGTACAGACAGGCAGGAAGTGACATAGTTAGGCTGAATCAGAAATTAGCAGAGACAAACAGGAAATCACTCTCTTCTCTCTCATCAGAGATGTTGAGCCATCATCATGTAGCAGGCAAAGGAGTTGCAGGTCTGGTAAGCCAAGACCATGTGGAAATACATGGATTAGTAGTTATGGGTTAATAATTAAGTCAGAGCTAGCCAATAAGAAACCATAGTCACTGGCCAACAGTTTCATAATTAATATAGTGTCCAGTGTTTTGGGACAGACAAGGGCAGCAGGTCCTAGTTGGGTCAAGAAAGCGTATGTTACAAGAGACATCTCTTTCTCGTGAAAAAGTCAGAACAAGAATGTATATCTAAATATTCCATATATGAATATATAGTGTATGATTAGTTATAGACAAGGCCTTTTTCTTTCCAAATCTGGATTTTTTTTCAGTTGTAGGAAACTGACAACTTTGCCTCCAGCTGGCTAGTAGAGTTTGCAGCAGCAGCAGCAGCAGCAGCAGCAGCAGCAGGAGCAGCAGCAGGAGCAGCAGCAGCAATAGCAGCTATGCCTACAAAGGATGTAGGTTGGTCAGAACAAATTCAGGATGTTTTATAGGACTGATGCTCTCAGGCTGTCAGCAACAAATGAGCATTTCTCCCATTGTTTGTAGAGCTCCGGGCCTTCTGTCTGTGGCTTCAAAAAAAAAATCAGCCAGAGAAGCTGTTGCTTTAGATAGTTGTTAAATATTTATAGTTATGGCTGTGATTTTATTTTCAATTCTAGTCATTCTATATTTTAAACATTAGATTCACCTGTGTAAAATACAGAGGCCCAGTGAGACCAGCTGCTGATAGGAGAGGTACTTGCCACTGAGCCTAACAACCTGGGCTTAGTCCTCAGAACACACCGAGGAGGAGAGAGAGCTAAACTCTAAAAGTTGTCCTGGAACCTCCATATGTGTGTCATGGCCTGCACACCACTCCCCACAAATGAATAAATAAATGAATGTTATGATTGGATATATTTGAGAATTAAAATTCTTATTAACAATGAGAAATAACCCACTACAACCCAGTATCTGAATACCAGCTCCAAAACAAAAGGAGGGCCCCTGAATCTTGATGGTTGTTAGCTTTTTAATCATGCAACGGGTATTTCGAACCTGGGACCAGCAGCCAGCACTGCTGTTCCCAATCATGGCTGTTATGTGCAAGTTGGGGATGGGAGTGGAGTGGATAGCACTTATCCAGCTGTTTCCAGGCCCAATGATGAAAGTAGAATTTGTCTCCAGTCTGCAGGTGCTTTGAGTCTTCCCTGTGCTCACAGTTTGGCTATCAGACCATTCTTCCCACCTCTAAGAAAAAAAACTCTTAGAGCATTTCTGCTTTCCAATGTGCTCCTAAACTTTCAAAACAAAACCAGAGAATAGAAAAAAGTATGGGATTCTGGTCACCACTTGAGTTTTTAAAGTAAATTTAGTAAAGAAGGGAAGGGCCCCTGGCTCACAGCAAGTGGACTACATTGGGCAAACAATGGTCAACCCTGAATGGTCAATCCAGTTGGACTGGATGACGGGGGCACTTCACTGAACCCCTCTTTGCCACAGTGTCTTTGTTGTTAGATGGAGATATTAATGTGGTCTCACAACCTCCTGTGAGGATCAATCATGTCTCACAGTTGAAAAGCACCTGGCCCACATGTGAAGTACATGCACACGTCACAGCCGTTATTATCCTTTTCAGATCCTGGATAGAAACTGGCCAAGGAGGAGTTACAGGGCAAGAAATCAGCTCTCACATGGAAGGCATGCGATCAATTCTCCTTTCAGTGAACACATTCTGATGTGGTTTTGGAAAATACTTTGAGCTCTGGGTCTTCATCAGCATACAGTGTACCTTCCGAATCTCACAGTGGTGTCTGTGGAGGTCATCCACTTAGATGCACACATTCCAAGAACTTCTGAGACGTCTCTTCACTGTATAATGAGCCTTGTGGATATAAGTCTTGAGAAATGAATGATCAAGTGTGAGCAAGTGCAAATCTGGTGAGATATGAGTGCCTCCCAATTGGCAAGGTGACTCAACATATAAATTGAATAATTCCCCAACATCTGGGAATGAACTCTGTGCCAGATGTCAAGTTGGAGAGTTCAGGCATTAATAACACAGGGGGAGGTGGTCTGTGCTCTAGTGGAAGTCATGGCCAATCGAGTTTGTATAAGGAAGTTTTATCTAATTTTGTGTGACAGAGCAGAGTCTGGATAACACACGTTGGTGCCACTTTTTTTTTTTTTTTAAGATTTATTTATTTTCCTTGTTTGGGTAAGAATGTTTTGCCTGAAAGTATGTCCATGTACCCACATGCATGCAGTGTCTTCAGATGTCAGAAGAGGGCATCAGATCCCCTGGAATTGGAGTTACAGATAGTAGTGAACTGCCCTGTGGGTGTTAGGAACCCAATCTGGGTCCTTTGCAAGAGCAACAAGGGATCTTGGCTTCTGAACCATCTCTCTAGCCTCTGGTGCCACTATCTTGAACACTGGGAGTTTCCCTTCCTATTTTAAGATTTCCGGGTACACAATAAACATGTGAAGACATCAGAGGTATTTTGAATTTGCATATCCTCTGATGGGTCTTAGGAAAAGGCTAGTGGTGAAACAACCTAGTATTAATAATTGTCTTTTGGTACAGATTGACTTCTTGTCAAAAGTATAGAGCAAGAAGCACAGAAAGTACAGAACAGAATTATGAGGAGGGTAGACCCATAACCTTCCCTTCTTGGAGGATATGAGCTCATCTTGATAGGCTTTTGGTCTTCTCAATGATGGTTTGAAGACTGATGCCATACTTAGGTGGTGCTTTCCTCTAGTGTTTTCTTTTGGAAAATTTCCTACTGAAAGCTTTTAAAAGCACGTTTGTTTTGATTTATTTTAAAGTTTTACTAAATTCTTGGAAACCTGAAATGCTTAAAACCATTTGTGAAGTGGTCTTAATTTTGAGCTTTAATTCCATAACTACATTTCACTCCTGGTTTTATTTAACTCTTTCTTGAGCCCTTGCTATATGGGCAGCTTATTTAAAACATAGCCTAAGTGTTCTTAGTGTCTCTTGTAGCATCACGGTGATGTTTCTTTAAAAATTCACCTTTTTATATACAATGAAATCTTATCTATTTTTTATAGCATTTAAATTGCCTTTATTGATGATCAATTGATTGAGATAGGCTTTTGTCATGTAGTCCAGGCTGGTCTTGAATTCATGATTCTCCTGACTCAGGCTCTCCAGTGCTGGGATTACAGGCATGTTGCCACCATGCTTCTTTAACAACCCCGATCCCCAAGTTTCTCTTTGTAGCCCTGGCTGTGCTGGAACTCCCTCTGTAGACCAGACTGGCCTTGAATTCAGAGATCTACCTGCCCCTGCCTCCCGAGTGCTGGAATTAAAGGTGTGTACCACCACCGCCTGCCTACAACCATGGTCTAAAGACAAAATCAGTTCCAAGCTTTGAACTGAATGGTGTTGAAAGTCTCCAGAATGGACAACTTTTGGTATCTGTTCCCTTGGGTAGACTCTTTTCATTTGCTAGCATTTGACTTCTGACTTACATTAACTGATAGGATATGGTGGAAGTGGTGTAGGGTCCAGCTTCCTCCAGGTAGAATATTCGATATTAGAAGCATTAGACTGGTTTAAAGAAAAAAAAATTACTTCCTTACTGCACAGACTATGTAAAGAGATTCAGATTGTATGGAAAGCGGTCAAATTCCAGTTGTCTTGTGTTCTAGCTCAGCCTCTATGTGACTCTAGTCTTAGCTGTCATCTGATGTCAAATTACATAAGCTTTGTGAAGAGACCAACAGAATAACTTCCCTGAGCCCAGCTACCCACAGAAAAGTAATACAAATGGCCTTTGTTTCAGCCCCTCAGTTTTAAGGCATAGACTTGTAGCATACATGACAAACCTATCAACCACATGACTCCAGATGACATTCTTTCTTTGTACCAAAGTAAGTTCCTTCCCTCAGAGTGGTTTGTATGCAAATAGGAATGATTTTGATGAAAACAAACCATTCAGTGTCCTCAATGTCTGGGGTAGTATGTAGCTTTCTCACTCGCTGTCATAAAACGAATCGTAAGGTGGGATCCTCACTGTCCTGGTCCTCACCAGTGCTTGTGGTCTCTTCTTCCTATTGCTAAACTCGTCTGAGTCAGAGCTGGAGCAGTCCCAGAAAGGCTGTCTTTGGGCTTCTTGTTCACGGATCCATGCTTCCATTTTGCCAATTTTTGGGATATAACAGTCATTCTTTGTGTAGTATTCCAAGAATTCTTTATCCTGTGGATTTCCTGCAAATGAGCAAAAGTTCTTTTACTGTCTCCTTAAGATTGATTATTTAAAACACTCTTATCATTATAGAATAATCCACGTAAGGTTAATACTGGAAGAAAAATTAAATATTAGCCTTTTCGGTAAACACTGTAAAACTGTTGTTTGCCACATGGAATGAAAATCTTTTTGTCTCTCCTATCCCTATTATTGCAATTGTTTTAAGCTTCCTACCCCCCACCCCCACACCTGGTAAAACTGTTGTTTACACAAAGATCCTTTTGTATTCTTGGATTTAAGCGACTTAAGTGCTCCATCTCTTCCTACTTCCCTTCATTTCCTTTGTATAATTCTTTCAACACTAGCCAATTTCCAAAGGCTGTGGAGTTGGACCCCAGCCAATGGTGGAAAGACACAGTCACTACCTGTGCTAGAATAAAAGCCATGAGCACTTCCTGTCCCAATGTGCTTCGTGGCCCAATTTTAGATTCTGGCACACCCTTTTTGCAAAAAGAATTGCCTTGCTCCGTTCACTTTGCTCTGGTTTTCCTTTGTGTAACTTTGAGATTATACATTGTTTTTTAACAACAACAACAACAACACATACACATTGACTGTTATCTCTGTAAAAATTAATTTTTGACTGTTATTTAAATTTTCTTTAATCATTTAAAAGTAACAAGACAAACCTAGATCCCCAACTTATCCACAACATTTTGCCATAACATTGCTTTCAGCTGAACCACCTAAAAATTAGGGGGAGGCGTTTAGCACAGTTGCTAGAGTGCTTGATTAGCATGCACCACAAAGACTGCACAAAAAATGGGCTGGTGGCAAACGCCTGTAATCCTAGAAGTCAAGAGGTGGAGGCAAGAGGACCAGAAGTTCAGGATTATCTATTGATGCATACTGAGTTAAAGACTAGCCTGAGTTACACAAGGTCTGTCTCAAAACAAAGTAAACAAAACCAGAAAAAACAAAACCACATTTCTATACAGTAGTAACCCGTCTTTGTGGGGCTTCAGTAGGATCCAGTCGACTTGCCCGGTTCGTACCTGAGATGAGGAGTGTAGATTGAGAAATGGCAGGTAAAGATAGAGTCAGGAGGGCAATTCAGTGAGTGCTGAATGCACCAAGTTTATTCTTCAACATTCTTAAATACCCCAACCAAAAAGGAACAAAGCAAAAGACTTCTTTGTCAAGATACAAGAAAGAAACAGACCTTCTTTAATTCTCCAAACATCTGGTAACCACCCCTTAGACTGAATTTCTCATTTATTTGGCCTTGAGGGCTAAGAGTAACCACACCAGAGATCAAGTCTCTTGTATTTAGATAAGATGTCCATGACCAAGATCAAACATCCTACAGTAGTTCACCTTAGATCTCTAGGTCTTATGAGTTTAAGACCTTGGAAGAGTGAGGATAGTTTTGAACTCTCTGACCTTGATACATTTTTATGGGCCCCAAACTATACTTTTATCATTAGGGGAACAAATAAATGAATGAACCAGTGAGGAATCAGAGAATTTTAAGATGTGGGCAGCAATGGCAACCAGGACCTTGGCAATTACTTCACTATTAGAGCTTACACATGTTAATCATCTCTGTTCTGAAAATGACTAAGAACTGCAAGAGGCATCACTGAGAACAGGAATCTTCTAGAATGTTTAACTTGAAGTAGAGCTTTGAAATGGGAAGAAAACGTCTATTATAGGTGGGGTCTAATATACTATTAATGATAGCTTAAGTGCCTCAGCATTCTTGGTGCCATGATCATCCCAGTCTAAAGTTGTATGTAATGTAAATGTACACATTCAGTTTCCTCTTTGAAAACTAATGGGGTACTGTGTACAAAGTTTTGGGTACATAGCAGTGAAGCTTGAGGACATCTGAGGTAGATGTAACATTTTTTTCTTTTTAAAGATTTTATTTATTTATTATGTATACAGTCTTCTGCCTGCATGCCAGCAGAGAGCACCAGATCTCATTCAAGGTGGTTGTGAGCCACCATGTGGTTGCTGGGAATTGAACTCAGGACCTCTGGAAGAACAGTCGGTGCTCTTAACCACTGAGACATCTGTCCAGCCCTGTAACAACATTCTTATGAGATGTTTGATGGTCTATGGTTTACAGACTTGAAAACAATAAAAGTAAAAACAAAATCATGACCTTTAGAAACCTAAGTGGTGAGCAGAGTAGATAGAAGCCAGTGTATATAAAGTTCCAGGATTAAGCTGTTTTAAATTTTTTTTCAGGAGGAGGCAATATGTGCTGGTGTGTGGAGGAAATGAGGAGTGATTTAAATGGTAGAACAATCAGCATGAAGAATGTCTGACAGGTGTATATTTTATAATAACATGTTTTAGAAAAATCTAATACCACTGTATAAAACTATAACATCACAGTAGTTCAAAGACAAAGTTATATATTTTCAACAATGATTTAGTAGTTAAATAGTATAGGTGTATATATAAGATTAGAATTATGAAGGTGACACTGAAATGACAGATTTAGGGTAACATTTTCTGAAAGATATGGTTGTTTTAGTATAAGACATTGTGATGGTTAATGTTGGCTGTTATCATGACTGGTTTTAAAAGCACTGAAGAGACAAGCCTGCAAGCAAGCCCAGAAGGGACTGCCAACTAGGTTAACTGAGATGGGAGGACCCACCCTGAAAGTGCTACCTGTAAGGATTCAGGCACTATGCTGGCCCACCCCTGTCACCTGGCAGAATGCACTCAGGCAGTAACCTGGTCAGCATATAGGTGCAAAGGATCCCTTTAAAAGAAAGACCCCTGCCCACTTACATTCTCTTTCTCACTGTTCCCCTGGGGCAGACAGGACTTTGCTCTTCTGTCCTCTCTCAGTCTCTGTGTCTCTTTACCTCTTTTCTCTTTCCTTCCCCCATCCCTTTCTAATGAAACTTCTCACTAAGCTCTGTCTGCCTGACATGTTTGTTTCCCGCCGTGGTCAACCTCACCTGCTGTAGAATCCGCTAAGGTTCCTCTCGTGCATCATCCTAACATTTGGTGCCATGACCCAGATTCCCCATGGGCTTTATTCCTAACAGTACCATCCCCTAGACTGGGCTCTTGGACAAAATAAAAGAGAGACAGTGAGCTGAGTATAGGCATTTATTGCCCTCAACTTCTGACAGCATACTTCCCTTGGTGGACTTCACATATTGAAACCGTGGGGCAGAACAAACCCTCCTCCCTGAAGTTGCTTCTGTCAGGTATGTTGTTGCTTCAACAAGACAAGTAACGGATACAGACATCAGTTCCATTTTTTCCCTTCAGTTTTATCCACATTCCTGTATATGAATCTGAACCTCACTGTGTATGTGTGTGCACTGGAGGTGGGGAAGAGTATGTGCAGATAGAAGCCAGAGGCTTTGGACAAGTGTCACTTCAATTGCTCTCCACCTTATTCATTGAGACAGGGCCTCTAACTGACCCAGAGCTCACTGAGTTGGCTAGCTTGGTTAGCTAGCAAGCTTTAAGGGTCCCCCCCCCCTATCAGTGTATAATCTGTTACAGTAACTCAATTCTAGCTTCTGAAATTTTGGACCGTGACTAAAGGTCCTCAGGCTCATGGGACAAACACTTTCCCAGTGGAGCAATCTCTCTAGCCCTTATATGTGCTTTTATACAAATGAGATTAACATGAATCCTATATTGACTGATACTATTTATCCCCATTTTACAGATCTAGGGAGACAGGATCACAGAAGTGAAGCAATAAATGTACTTCTATTTTCTCTTTAAAAAATAAAATGATGCAGAAAAATCTATAGTTGAGAGGCCATGTTTGCCAGACCCTGGTCTAGGAATAGAAAGATGTGCTGGCTCTCAAGAGAGACAGCACTGTTGGGCTCACTGGAAGGACTTTGATCCCAGTTTCTGTGCCTTTTCCCCAACTGTATCCAGATCATGCCTCTGGAAAGGGCAGGGGATACATAAACATAGTAAAACTCATAGACTTCTATACCAAAAAGAGTGATACTCGATGTATGTATGTTGTACTTAATCACATATTTCATATGATTGTGTGTGTGTAATTTATCATGTGAATATGTAAATCAGAAATTTAAAGATGGTTTTGTTTTAAAGAGGCAGCAGAAAATAGAGCTTGATTTCTGTCTCACAAGAGTCTAAAATTGTCATCCTGTGTTCTGGAGGGAAATAAGAAATGGTGGACATACCATTAAATCAGTGAAGGCTGGAACAGAGGTGCCTGCATTGCCAGACCCAGACTACCAGGATGCTCAGGTCAGTCTCTGAGCTTGGCTGCATCCCACTCACAGGAGAAAGCAAAGTGAAATGTTTTTAGAAGACAGGAAAAGCAGTCAAACAGGTTCTCTGTGATGAGTGAGAAGGAGTCTTCACTAGAACCTGTGGCAACAGCAGTCAGGTGTGAAGGAAGCTTCTGGAGTCAGGCATCCAGAGTCAGTGCATGAACCCATCCTTTCTGGATCTGGCTTCCTTGTATGTGAAACAGAGGTGAATAATCATGACCTCTTGTGATTCATACAGGAAGAACTCAATACTGTGATTAAAATCACTTTCTAAACCCTAGATTTGTCCATTATTATCCCTGGGAGTTTCTGCCTATGGAGCTGTGCAGCAAGAATGGAAGCAACAAGAGAACTGCAAACTTTAGGTGACCCCCAGTTTCTCCATCATCAAAGAAATGTGTGGTGATACTTCACTTCTTGTGACACTTCATTGTCAACCAGACTGGATTTGGAATCACCTAGGAGACACACTTGTGGGTGCATCCGCAAGTGTGCTTCCAGGGGGAAGAGGAGAGAAGACATACCTTAAATGTGGGGGCACCCTTCCACAGGCCAGGTTCCAGACTGGGTAGAAAGGACAGAGAAGAAAGCAAGCTGTTGGGTCAGTACCCATCTCTACCTGCTTCCTGACTACAGATACAATGTGGCCAGCCTCTCACTCCTGCCACCATGCCTTTCTTGCTGGAATGAGCTATATCTTGGAACTGTGAACCCAAACAAACTCTTCCGTTGTAGAATATCATTTTAAGATGTGTTCCATTTGTTTATGCTGTGGAACATTGGTTTAATGATGCAAAGATGTGTTGCATTCTTTTCTGTTGTAATTGTTTAACTCCGTGAAGTGTGATTCTTTGCCTGTCTAAAAAGCTATTGGTCTAACAAAGAGCAGAACTGCCAGTAGTGAGGTAGGAAAAAGGATAGGTGGGGCTGCCAGGGAGAAAGGATAAATAGAAGGAGAAATCTGGGAGGAGGAGAAGAAGGAGCAAGATAGAAAAAGGAGAGGAGGACATCAGGGGACCAGCCATCCAGCTCCACAGCAAGCCGTGGAGAAAGAAGTAAAAGTATACAGAAACAGAGAAAGATAAAAGCCCAGAGGCAAATGATAGATGGCATAATTTAAGATAAGAAAAGCTGGCTAGAAACAACCATGCTAAGCCCAGGCATTTATAAGTAAGAATAAGCCTCCATGTTAGGATTTGGGAGCTGGGTGTTACACCCCCCCCAAAGAGTCAATGAGCAAAAATATAACAACAACAACAACAACAACAACAACAACAACAACACTCTTCCTTCTACAGAGCTCTGGTCAGCAATCTTGTCACGGCAATCAGAAAAGGAAGTAATAGGTTTCCATTTCCAGCAACTTCAGCAACAGGCAAGGATATTGCCTACAGACATCTCCTCCATGAGATCCTAATTAATGGTGATCTCATTTTAAAAAATTCTTCAACTTTTTATTTTTTAACTTTTTATTGATTCTTTGTCGATTTCAGATCATGCACCCCAATCCCACTCATCTCCTTGTCCCTTTGTATTCACCTGATGCCCTTGTACCCCCAATAAAATAAAATTGAAAAAGACAAAAAAAGTCTTGTGGAAGCTGTAATGTGTCACAGTGAGTCATACAGTACATCCTTTAGTCCATACATCTTTACTTGCAAATGTTCATTGCCCTGAGTCTGGTTCAAGGCCTCTGGCTTCTGCTACAGTGAGGATCAATACTGGATCCTCATTGGGACTCCTCTTGGATATACTGTTGTTGCCCTGTGTTGTGGAGATCTTGTAGCTTTGGATCTGCAGGGATGGCATCTCCTTCAGCAGGTGATTTTGCCTCTTAGAGCTCACTTGCCAGCGCTACTGATGTGGGGCTTTGCCCCCAGCACAGCAACCTCTCTGTGTGAGCAATACAGCAAATGTGAAGCTTTCCCCTGGGGGAACTCACACTGGGAAAACTTAATGGACACTCTAGTTGGTGGGCAGCATAGCAGACAGGTTATGGATGAGGAAGTCTGTTGGAAAGCCCAGAGCAATCCAAGGCTAGAGTGCAGAGCTGGCTGTGAGAGCAGCAGGAGAAAGAGGTGAGTTTTTGTTCTCAAGTTGATAGAAATCTGACTGTATTTCTTAAAAAAGATTTTTTACTTAAGAGTATGTGTTCATGTGCTTATATGGCATGTGTGTGCAGGTTTTGGAGGAGGCTAGAAGGGTTACCAGATTCCTTTGAGCTGGAGTTACAGGCAGTTGTGGGCTACCCTACATGGGTGCTGGGAAGCAAACTTGGTTCTCTGGAAGAATGGCAAACACTCAGGACCACTGAGCCAGCTCTCCCGTCCTGGTGATTATTTTCTAAGCAGGAGAGTTATATGGCCAGATTTGCTTTCTATGAGGTTACTCTTTGTCAGCACAGTGCTTCTAGAACTTCAGCATATGAGGCTGGGGATGTAGCTCTGGCCCAAGTGACATAGGATACAAGGTCCTCCCTATAGAGATGATGGAGGAAGCAGGAGCCAGGTGGAGAGGGGTAGTGGTGCTAGATTCACTGTAGGCATTCTTGGGTACCCAAGAAGACTGAACTACAATACAAAGGGTGCTTAGAGGGATAAGGAGCTGATGTGTATGTGCCCTGCGAGCAAAGGCAACTTCATGTGTCTATAAGAACCTCTCCCTCTGACATAAGATGATGCTACAAGCCTGTCTTGTGATTTCAGGGGTGCCTATAAAGCACTTAGAATCTACAAGAATAAAGAAGCCTCTATGCAGAGCTTATATTTTTTTCTGAGATAAAAAATGCAGCATTCCATTCATTCTGAGACATCAGTTGTTCCCTCAGTGACAGCTATTTTGTGTCTCTTCACTCTCCTCCCCCTGCCCATCATGGACATTTATTTGATGAAGTTTCAAATGTGTGTTCATCTCAGTGCTCAAGAAGCTGAGGCAGGAGGAGCTTGAGTGCAAGTTTGACTCTGTCTTAAAACTAAACTAAGGAGTTGAGGATGTAGCTATGTTGGTGGAGTATTTGCCTGCCATGTACAAAGCCCTGGGCTTGATATCTAGCATGGCATAAACAATCCAGGCATAGTGGTGCAATACAGCACTTAGGAGAAGGAGGCAGGAAGGTCAGAAGTTCAAGGTCATCTTTGACTACAGACTGAGTCTAAGGCTACCCTGAGCTACATAAAAGCCTGTCTTAAAACAACAACTAGACCCCCAAAGGAAACCAAAACAGTATGTGAAATGTTTTACTAAAGAAATGACAGTACTCACCTGGGTCTCTGTTCATGGTTTCATCAGACAGTGTGGTGATGATGTCATAGTCATTGCTCCCTGGTGTGCTTTGGATGATTTTATTGCCATTATGGTCCTTCAGCTTTTGCAGTTCAAGTCTTGATGCATTCTGAAGGCTCTTCATCAAGGCCTGAAATGATAAGCTAGAATTAGCTAATATTCTCTGAAACTGTCTTCTCCAGAACAGACTTGGTAACATCAAAGTGTAGACAGTTCACAGACTTGGACACCCTTCAACACACTGGAATGGTTTTGTTCCCATCCCATTCTGTGGAGACTTTATTCTCAGGCTTGTTAGGAGAAAGATGAGCATGCTCACTGGCTTGTAGAGGGGTGGATCAATGAAATTCGGATTCCTGTCAGCCTTTGTCTGGAGGTGAGCTTTTAGAATTGCAGAGGACAGAACCACAGGCTGGCTCCTTAGGGATGGGAGTTCTAGGGTTGCAGAACTTACCTGGAGAAAGTGTTCCAATGTGTTCTCCAGAATTTACAGGTTGGAAACACCGACTCCCCAATTCTTATGCTACTTTGTAGGTGGGCCATTAAGAGATATTTGGGTGGTGAGGGCTTCACCGTCAGGACAGAGTGAAACTTTTATCACAGGAGAAGGCTAGTTCTCTCTGGGAAGTTATAAAGGTTGCCTTGGCTTGCTCTTGCTCTTGACCCTTCACTCTCATGAACACTGTCACTTGCCATGTTCTCTGCTGTGTTGTACTGCCTCTTATCAACTACCAGTATCTCAGTCTTAGACTTCCTCACTTCTAGAACAATGAGCAATATATTCATCATCTGTGGTGGTTTTAAAAAAATGGCCTCCAAAGGGAATGGCACTATTGGGAGGTGTAGCCTTGTTAGAATGGGTGTGGTCTTGTTGGAGGAAGTGCATCACTGTGGAGTTGGGCTTTGAGGTCTCATATATGCTCAAGATACTGCCTGTTGCCTACAAGTAAAGAAAGACATAGGACACTGGGCTACTTCTCCAGCACCATGTCTGCCCGCATGCTGCCTTGTCCCACCATGATGATAATGGACTGAATCTTTGGACTATAAGGAGCCACCCCAATTAAATATTTTTCATTTGAAAGAATTGCTATGGTCATGGTGTCTCTTCACAGTGATAGAAACCCTAACTAAGCCATCATCTTTATTAATTACTATGTCTCTGGTATTTTCTTACAGCAGAAATGGACCAATACAAAGGCCTTGCTTGTTTCTTCTTTTGGAAACAGGGTTTCACTCCACAGATTGGCTGTCCTGAAACTTTCTATGTAACCCAGACTGTCCTAGACCTTGTGGAAGTTCTTCTACAGCCTCCCAATCATGGGGTACAAGCAAGCCTAGCACAAGGTGTTTCTCACTAGGAAATTCTATGGCATGAATTATAGGGAGAGGCCTATGGATAAGAATAAAGACTGGCTTCCATTCCTTCTTTTACTAAACCAAGAAATGAATATTATTTACAATATTTTCTGGCTACAGTCAGAAGATCAAAGAGCAGCTTTTTAAAAGAGACACAAGCTAGGCTTTTGCACACCTTTAATCCCAACACTCAAGAGGCAGGAGGTCATCTTATTCCACACAGTGAGTCCCAGACCAGCCAGGGCTATGCAATGAGATCTTTTCTTAAAACAAAACGAAGAAACAAATAAAAAGGGAAACTTGAGGGACCAGCGAGATGACTCAGTGGCTAAGGGAGCTTGCTGCCAAGCCTGACAATCTGAGTTTGAAAACCAGAACCCATAGGATGGAAAAAAAAAAAAAAAGAAAAAAAACCTACTACCAAAATTAGCCTTTGACCTCCAGGCATGTACCATGGCACATGTGTGTGCTCTCTGCCCCCACAAAATAAAGAAATAAATGAAAAAGAAAGAAAAAGGGATGCTTGAAGCATAGATTTAATCTGGCAGAGAAGCGACAAGAGAAAAACCCTCATCAAGGCTGCGAGCAAAAGGTCATCTTCCTGTTTCTCCCAGCTCAGGCCATGGCAACCTCTGCTCTGTTGATGAGAACAGTCTGGACTCGGTGGGACAGTGATGATGCCTTCCCTCCAAATTTGATAAACGTGACCCTCCTCTCCTTACCTCCTGTCTTTTATGGTTTATCTCCAGCATTTGCATCTTATGTAAATACTGTCTCTTCCCAGAACTGTACATTGAGAAATGCATTGTCTTCTCAGGTTCCTGCTGTGAAAGATGACGTGTTTATTAGTATGGGGTAATTGTTACTGACTCCCGAAATTCACTGCCTTCAACCCTTCTTGGGACAGATCTTAATCCATCGTAATCCGTAGCGGATCTCCTGTCGTGATAAAGGTATGGTGCTGTTGTGTCCCTGACAAGTTCTTTGTATAGCTGTCAGAGAACGAAGTGGCAATCTGCTGTGTATCTAATAGTGTTGTAAAGGTTCTTGCAGGGTTTCACAAGCCTTGAATGCAAGGGTGTTGATGATTTTATTTTGATAATCTTACATTGACAGCATACCATTTCCCCTGCCGACAGATGCTTCTAGTATCTCTCTAGGTAAGTGTCCTGGTCTGATGAGGCCTTCCTTTCTCTTCCTGTGTCTTCTACCATTGAAATGAGAGGAGATCCCCCTGGGGGTGCTCAGTGGGACCTATTTCTCTACATTATATTTTCATTTTCAAATACAAACCTTAGAGAGCATGGCAGTTGAGGGAGGATTTTAAGTGACTACTTGTAAGTCTGATGGTTTCCCCTTAGTTTGTCATGAGATTCATTGGCATAGTAGAGGTGGCTATTGAGGACAAGCAGAGGTGACATAGTTTCATTTGTCACTTGCTGTTGTTCAGAGGTTAAGGAGAGAGTTGATGACAGCCCTTTCAGTTGTCCTCTGGACAATGTTGGATGGTGCAGATATTCAGGGAGAGGCTGCCTCCACTGTCGGCACCTTAAGCATGAACTTGAGGATCTATAGTGCTCAAGTGTCCCTTACCCAGTCACACAGTAGTGTCTGGCTGGCTCCAGCATAAGTCAGGACAGGGTATGAGAATGACCCCTACTAACAGCATTCATTTTTACTTATCAGGACAAATGATGAGGTCATCGTAACAGAAGACCTTTCCTGGAATTACATTTTGATGGAGGCTGTGGCGCAGAAGCCAGAACAACTTCTAGATAAGATCTTACCTGAAGACGGAATAGCAGGAGTTTAAAACTCAGGAGGAGTGAAGGGAAAAGCCGTTGGCTTTCCCCCACTGCAGATTTTAAAACTTCTAGAATCATCTGTTTCCATGTAAAATTCCCTTTCATCTGCATAGCTCTGTTTGTTCCACAAAGCAAACAGAGCCCGGCCTCATCTAAGAGTGAAGGGCACTTGCTAGTTGGAGGCAGGCTTGGGCAAGCACTGAGGCTTCAAACATCCTACCTGCCAAGGACTGAACTGTCTGCTTTGGCTTTGAACTCCTGTGTGAAGGGGAAACATGAAAAGAGCGACTCCCCCAGGCTCACCCACTTCGCCCAGTCAGCCACTGCCACAGCTCACCTTTCCTTTGTGACTTGTTCTGGCTTCTTGCTGGTGCAGGAGTCCCTCAGAGGTAATTACTTGTGGCAGGTCAATAGGTTCAAGCTTCTAGAAGTCCAATATTTAGAGTATTCAGCATCCCTCATGCCATGAGATGAAGAAACACACAAGCAGAGACATGAAACTACCTGAGCACTCTGTGAAAGCAGTGCTGGGCATGAGCAGAGAAGGTGATTCCCACAGTATCACAGCTGTTATCTGTGAGAAAGGCTTTTTGACCTCTGGGGTTCTTTATTGTTCTATCACACCATTTCCAGTGAGTTATTAATAAAAATCTTGGTCAGAGAATTGATTACTTTTCCTGCTGCACCGAGGGACCATGTTCAAAGTTACCAAATATCTGGGGTCTTAGGCTAGTAGACATGAAAGAGACACCAGAGACACACCTGATCTTCCCTTGACCACCCAGCTGAGCTGTCCCAGTACTTAGGAAGTGAGTTTTTTTTCTTTTCAGATATTTTTTATTTGAATTAGAAACAAGATTATTTTACATGACAATCCCAGTTCCCTTCTCCCTCCTGTCCTCCCCTACCAACCCCCCCAACTAAAATCCTACTTATCACATATCCTTTCTTCTATTCTTCCCCTGACTCAACCTTTCTGCTTCCTCATGTCCTCTGCATCCTTCCTCTTCTTCCCTTCTCATTCTCGTAGCTCCCTTCCCCCTCTTCTCATGCTCTCAATTTGCTCAGGGGATCTTGAACCTTTCCCCTTCTCCAGGGGACCATGTATGTCTCTCTTAGGGTCCTCCTCCTTTACTAGCTTCTCTGGCAGTGTGGATTGTAGGCTGGTAATCCTTTACTCTATGTCTAAAATCCACATATGAGTGAGTAGATATCATGTTTGTCTTTTTGTGACTGGGTTACCTCGCTCAGAATGGTTTCTTCTATTGCCATCCATTTTCCTGCAAATTTCAAGATTCCATTGTTTTTTCTGCTGAGTAGTACTCCATTGTGTGAATGTACCACATTTTCTCTATCCACTCTTTGGTTGAGGGGCATCTAGGCTGCTTCCAGTTTCTGGCTATTACAAATAGTGCTGCTATGAATATCATCGAACAGATGTCCTTGTTGTATGAATGTGCTTCTTTTGGGTATATGCCTAATTGTGGAATTGCTAGATCTGTTGTAGACTTATTCCCATTTTCCTGAGGAGTCGCCATACTGATTTCCAAAGTGGCTGTACAAGTTGGCAGAAATGAGATATTTTTTGAAGGTCTCTAGAGAAGCTCCTTCAGTACTCATGGGCGACAAGACACACAAGGAAAGTGCAAGGTGCTAACAAATGGTAGGCTCATCTTTTTCTAGACTTTATGGGAGACATTTTGTTTGAGCTTAAAAGGTTCACTAAAACTGAGCAGAAGTATATCCATGGGTTTGTCTAACTTGCCTCTCTCTCTGTTGTACTTGTATGTTTGGGTATACCCATCCATGTGTGTACATGTAGAGACCAAGGGTTGATGTCAGGTGTCCTAGGTAGCACTCAGCTCAACTTTTTTTGTTTTTTGAGACGGAGATCTTTCACTGAACTTGTAGCTAATGGTTTCCATTAGATGGCTGGCCAGTGAGCCCTCGTGAACGATTTGTATTTTCACAAAGCTCTTCCCATTCCAATCTCTGCTGACTGTCGTAACGGAATGCTTCCAGATCTGGACTTTTACCTTTTTTGTGGCATTGGCATCTAAGGTCTGGTCCTCATCCCACACAGCAAGTACTTTACCCATTGAGTCATTGCTCCGGCCCACTGCCTAGCCTTCCTTCACCTTAGAAGACACTGGGTTCTACAAGCTGAGCATAGGAGACAAAGCTGGTCTCCTCACATTGACATGCATTGGTGTGTGTGTGTGTGTGTGTGTGTGTGTGTGTGTGTGTGTGTGGAGGGACAGCTGAGTTCTTCACATCCAGGCAGTCTGTGTTTGAGGTAAGAACTGGCTGTCTATCCTAGTCTCATCAAAGAAGCTTCCTCCAACTCCTCAGTAGTAATCAATGGTGACTATGATATCATTCCCATGAGATCTGGCTCTGCAACTCAATCTAGCAAAGAAGCAGTGAGAAGTGACTAAAGCAGTAGGATAACCTGGTTTGTTCCCCTCGCTCTCAGTTTTTCAGGGCATGAAGATGCAGGCTTAGGAGGTAGCAGCTGCTTGTGTCAGGTTGTTGAAGGGAGAGCCCAAAAAGAGGGAACCCTCCTGACACTGTGGGAGGAAGAATCTAGGATAGCTGGGAATGTGGTTTGGGTGAAGGGAAAACAGAAGGGTCTGTGTCTCTTCTGAATGGTGGGTTTCCAGGATTTGTGTATGCATGAATGGGTATGACTGTGTAGCCATTATTCCACCCTATGTCCATGAGTAAATGTACCATCACACACTAGTCCCAGGTAAGCCCTGTGTATAAATTATGAGGGTCCTCATTTTAGAAAGGCTAATCACTTATCCAAGTTTGCACAACCGGAAAGTGGCATCACTAGGATTCATCTCAGACGTATACCCAGTCTCAAGCCAGGTTCTTCACCTTATTGCTTGTCCTGCAAATGCTTGATCCTCAGAATGCCCTTGTACTTTGAAACAAAAATCTTGCAGCACTTAGCTGAATCTACGAGTCCCCAGGTTTGGTGTATGTCTTGGGAGTAGATAGTTTTCAAAACTCCCCCAGAGACACTGATGATTTCTTTGAAATTTTTCTGTTGGGGATCTGGTCCCACATTGCCATGAATGAACAAAAGAAATGCATGGAGACTAGACTGTTGAAGAGTTTTGCAGTATGTGTGGAGTTTGAACACTGAGTCTGAAGAAGCCAAGATACTTGAGTCATTTGAAAAGAATCTGTGGAGCAGCTTTTTGATTTGGTAGTATGGATGAGTCACAAGAGTCTCCTTTCCTTCATTCTCAGCCTTCTATTTAAACTCACGTTTCTGATAAAGGTTAAATGATAGATACTATTAAGAACTCTAGGCAACTTTCTGGAAAAAAAAGAGCACGACCACACATTCTCTTTACAAAGCCACTAGATGGCAGCAAGAGACACTGCAAGCAGCTTTCCATCTGCAGAGCATTTAGCCTGAGAAACTCTACAGGAAAAACAACAACAACAAAAAAAGGTTGGGAAAATTGGCTTCATTTAAATATTCTGGTCGAGTGACATTGCTTCAGAATCCTGGGTTCACATGCACACCCCTTGCCTTATAGGGGAAGGAAGATTCCTCCCTTCATCCCTTGTAGAGGAAACAGGCTGGAAGACATCGCTTGGAGAAGTGGTACGGTGGAACTTTTTCATTTTTAATATTCAGAAATAATCTTATTCGTCTGAAGATTTCTGAATTACTAGGCTGTTCAACACATGATCAGTATCCTCAGTTGGAGTATGTGCTAGGGCTTTGGGAATGGAGAATAAACCATCCACACACCACAAATCTCTGTGCTTGGTGACAAACACTAACCTAGGAGAGGGTATTGTTTTGTATTAGTAAGAAAAGGAAGGTGGATCAGAGCAACCCGAAGAAAATGTAACACTGTGTGGCACAACGACTTAAGGATGTTTCTTTTAAAACTCTGGGAAGTGGAGAATGTGTTCTATGACTGGTGATCATCACGACAATTTAGGGCCCAGAAAGAATTTCTGACCAAGTCCTATTTCAGTGACATTCTTTGTCCACAAAGGACAAAAAAATAAAGCCAACATGACACGGTTTGGCTTCAGTACAAGGCAAACATTTCCCTAGATCAGAAGACAAAACAGAAATGCAAATATTTGTGGGGAGCTGATCCGTAAGACACTTAGGGCAGGTGAAGTCTGTGAGTTATTTATATTGGATAAAGGGGATCAGGAAATGCTCCATAGGAGTGGAGCTATTCACCATGTTACTTATGAGAGAGCTGGAGGGCTGGGTGGGGCTGAGCAATAAAGCATGTTCTTTTAGCATGTATGAGGACGTAGGTTCAATTCCCAGCCCGGAAAACATGAACTAAGACATGGGGGGCTGGGGAGATGACTCAGTGGATAAAATGCTCACCTCAAAAATGAGACCTAGTATTTGGGAGTTGGAAATGGGATACTCAGGACAAACTATCTGAACATGAATTGGTGAACTCCTGGTTCAGGGAGAAACTCCTTTTCAAAAAATAAAGTGGAGGGTGATTAAAGAAGAAACCCAACACCAATCTCTAGACCACACACACACACACACACACACACACACACACACACACAGAGTGAGACACACACACACACACACACACACACACACAGAGAGAGAGAGAGAGAGAGAGAGAGACACACACACACACACAGAGTGAGACATACATACACACACACATACACACAGACACACACACAGAGTGAGACATACACACACACACACACACACACACACACACACACA